GGAGCCCTCTTTTCTGCTCCTCTTGGCTACTCTATTGATAGCACAATATCTGCATATATGCATCCTCAGTGAAATCATTGAATGCATGAATTATGTGGAATATATGGTATATGTGGTGGTTTGAATAAGAATGGCCCCATAGGCTTATGCGTTTGAATGCTTGGTCACCAGGGAGTGGCCATTAGGAGGTGTGGCCTTGTTGGAGGAAGTGTGTCACTGATGGTGGGCTACTGCTCCCATGAGAACCGTCCTCTGGCAGCTCAAGGGTTGAGGGGGAGCCAGTGGAGTCAACAGACTATCACCCAACTTGACTTTTCTATCTGAGGGAGTAAAACTTAATTCTCTGTTCTTTATTTCTTTCCTTAGCTTTATCTAGATGTATCCATTCTATCTCTCTTGATGTCTGTCTTCTAACTTTATTTATACCTTTATAGCTTATACATCCCAGCAGAATCTTTCAAGTGTATAAAAAGTTATAATGTGGTTATATTCTATTTTTCAAGAGGATGATACAATGAATGCAAGTAAAAAACATGTTTCTCATTTCCCTTACATGATTAAACATCTTATGTATTATAGATGAAAAACAAATTATTCCAAGAACCCACATAGATTCATACCCAAGCAACTTGTTATAGATGAACAGAGTGTAAGCCGACAAGGTATTTTTCTCAGTTAGTTCTCTTACTGGCAGCTGTATTTTGTTGTTACAAAGAAAGAATCAATCACTTTATTATTTATCTCAAAAGGTAATCTTATAAGGAATCTTAAAAGAATTATAAACCTAAACTTTTATGATTCAAAAACTATCTGTCATCTCTTCTGTAAATCCTCAGGGTGCATACCTATTTGTCAACAGTTTTTTTTTCTTTTTCTCTTTTTTTATGAGGAATCTGAGGGCAAAAATGGATACTAGGAATTCATCATCATTTTGATTACCAACCAATCACAAAAGGCGCATCAGCTAAGTATAATTGGCATGTATAGATGTATGGTATTTGTGCTTTAATAAATAAAGCTTGCCTGAAGATCAGAAAAGCAAAGCAGCCAGCCACTGGCTCTTATATTTACCTCAGACTGAAATGGGTGATCCTGCCTCCACGAATCCTCAGATTGAGACTGAGAGTGAAACCTGTCTCCTCCCATCTAATATTCCTCTCTAGTGCTGGGATTAAAGGTGTGCACCACCACTGCCCAGTCTCTATGGCTACCTAGTGTGGCTGCTGGGATTAAAGGTGTGTGCCACCACTACCTGACCTGTATTGCTGACTAGTGTGGTTGTTTTACATTCTGCTCTGCAGGCAAGCTTTATTTATTAAAACACAAATACCATACCACTCTAAGGCTGCTTTGTTCTTGTTCCCTGACCTTAATAAGTCCCTCACTCAGCTATGTGCGTTTCTAACCTTTCCCAGGTTTTTCACCTTGAAGCCATTAACAAAATCATCTTAATCTACCCGTAAGTCATATTTACAGCTTTGTTTCAGCTATGATGCACACCGAAACCTGTGACCACATCTCCCAACATTAAGATTAAAAGAACTTGAGTGCTCTTAGTTTCTGGGACTCAGTTGTTTTTCTTACTCATTAACCTAAGCCGCAATCTATATGACTTTTCAAGAGAAACTAGGTGTGTGACATTTTCTTGTTCTTATTTTCTATCCTCTGTAGCCCCTGCTTTATCAGGGAAAGGGGCAACACCATATCTTGCTTTTACCTATGTTAGTTTCTTCACTAAGCTTACCTCTATTGTAATTTCTTACTGGATTTATTAAAGACCCTTAATCATCAAATTCTATTTAAACTAACATTATATTATAAAAAATCATTACTTCAGTTAAAAAGTAAAGTTTAGGAGGAAATCATCTTCATAATAATCCACCAGTAAAAATGTCCAGTAGAATGGGATATTTTCATGAAATAATCATACCACATTAAAGGCAGTGGAGATCTCCCTACACCCATGCCAGATACCAGTGAAAAACAGCAGTGGCAAACGTGTAAAGACACAGCAGCAGCAAGAGCCATTCTGGGGTTGAGGCTCTGGGGCCTTGCCCATCTGAGATTCACCCGTCAGTACCTTGCATGCCAGTGGGCTGATCCCCTGAAGTCAATTGCCACCTGCTGCTCTCCTGACATGGCCCCTGGCAGTGGGCTTTGGGGCTTCAAATACTCAAGCCAGGCCCAGTGTCTGGCTCTTCCTGCTGCCTGCCTATCCAGATATAGAACCTGCAGTTCCTCTCTAGCCCCAGGTCAGATCTGACTTTGTCCAGCCATAATGACAAAGCCTCTAAAACTGTAAGCCAGCCCCAATTAAATGCTTTCTTTCATAAGAGTTGCCGTGGTCATGGTGTCTCTTATTTTCATCTAGTATGCAAGCAGTGCCTGTTGGTTCCCGTTTCATGATGTAGGTGTTACTCAGGCTTGTTCTCCCTAGGGCACACATACCCAAGAGAACAGTTATGAGGACATTAACTTAGTATTACAGAGATTTTATTTGTCATGGCAGGAAACGTGTGGCAGAGCACAGCAGCTTCCACACTGGTGGCCAGGAAGCAGAGCTGAGCACAGTAGGACAGAGCAAGCACAGGACAGGCCCCAGAACAGGTCCTCAGTGACCAACGTTCCTCAGCCAGGCCCATCTTCCACAATTCTGTCACCTCCAATAATCTATTCAAAGTCTGAATCCACCAATGGAGCAAACCATTCACTAGGTCAGAGCCTCCAACCTCAAGTCCTGCCTGGAGACACCCTCACAGACATGCCTGGAGGTGCTTTACTTATGTCCTAGCCGGCTCATAATCCAATCAAGTTGATAAATAAGATGAATCACCACGAGCTGTTTGTATGATATTTCACCTGCTGTTGTCCTTTGAGGATATTTGTGTTAAATCACATACAGTAACATCCATCCGTCATTTTCAAACGGACTAGATTTTAGCCTTCAACCATAGCCCGACGTGTAGGCAGGAGATTGTGACTCTAACCTATATGTTTTTTCCCTTTGCCCTTTGGTGACTTCTTGGAAATAAGGAAGGCAGGGAAGCCTCAGACTCTGAAGGTCTGAAGATGGAGGCTCTCGTTGACAATTTATGTAGCCTAAGAACAATGAACTGCATGGACTTCTTGGTGCTGGTTTGCTTCTCTAGCTTCTACACATTCATGGACCCAGGTCTCCACAGAGCTGATCTTAGCAGATGTTTTCCACTTTGTCCAATAGGCACTGGGCTATTTTAGCCACTTCCTCTTCCTTTTCCCTCCCTTATAAGCAAAGAGTGGCATGATCTTTTTGTTAAACATAGCTAGCAAGCGATTAGCTGGCAGATTCAGAACCCTATTTATAGACTGTTGCGCCCGCTTTACATTCAAAGGCATCTTGGTAAGCTCTCAGTTAACACACTAAGCCGCGCTGAATTTTCCTCCTTTTCAGTTGAAGAAGATTCATCGCTGTTTTGTCATTCAGCTTCCTTTTTCTTTCTTAAAAATAGCTCAAGTTTAAAAATTCAGCTTTTGTACCTCTTTTCACTTTTCTCCATGACATTTTGGCTATTGCGAAGGCAGTCTCCATTACCAACAGGAAAACTCGGAGAAGTTACCATTATTCAAGCATTCTATATTTGAGGAACCAGCTACGAACACTTCTCCTCATCGGAGTTTCTGGATGTCCCCGCTTTGGTTCTTCTTTCCATTTCAAACAGGACCACACTCAAGAGTTTTCTGGCTGATTCTCAGGAATATAACAGCCTGTGAATACGGCCTCAAATCGGATTGAGCAGGGAGGGGTTGGAAAGAAGGTTCAGTGGTTAAGAGCACTTACTGTCCTTTCAGAGGACTCAGGTTCAATTCTTAGTCCCAACATGGAGGCTCACAATGGCTTTCAGCTCCAGTTCCAGGTGACCCTGAAGGTCTCTAGGCCCGAGCAAGGCAAACAAGGCACACACAAGTTTCGCTTCTTCCCCCTTGCTAAAAACCATTAGATTACATTCCTAAAGCTAGCCCCTGAGGTCTATTCTCTTATTTGACCATAGACTCTTTACTGAGACAGAGCACTAAGGTCCAGCAATCAATTATTTGGCTAACATGTTCGATCAGGTTACCAACTCACCCTACCTAGCACAGATTCCCTCTTAAAACCCTATTCCAAAAAAAAAAAAAAATGCTTGCTGCTGCTTACTGTCTGTCTTTGTGGCTTCTCCACCCCTCCCTATCCCTCCCGGGTAATAAACCTCCTTGGTGCTGAGAATTTGGTGTCAGGATGTGTCCTGTACACCAACTCTGATGGGAATGTCCTCCCTTACTGACCCAGCATTCTCTTCTGGCCTCTGAGGGGATCATGTGTGCACATGATACACATACATACACTCAAGGTCTACGTGTACACATTAAATAAAAATGAATACATCTTTAAAAATAAAGCAAAATTCAGTTGTATCTGACCAAATGTTGTATCTGAATGAGCTTCAATGCTAAAGAATTTCTGGCTCATGTGTTTTTATCAGAAAGACTTAGGATGCTGCCGAGGAGCTTCAAGCAGGATCTAGCACTACCTCATGTCTCAGGAGGTAGCTGAATGGAAGAATCGTTGATGCAGTCAGGAATTCTTGCTGCATTTGAAATGGCATCTGATCAATAGGCTGTGACATTTGAACTGGAACCTGATCACTAGGTTGTGGCTTTTGAAATGGCATCTCATCACTAGGCTGTGATACAGTGCTTCTCTGGGGCTTCAGAGAACCTCTACCGAGCACTTCTCTTGTTACCATGAAATGGACTCACTGTTGATTTGGGGTTCCCACAGTTCTGATGACAATCCAGAACTGGATCTGGCTTCACTTTAGAGGAATTGTCATCCCCTGCCCATGAGAAGGGCCTGGAACTGATGTGTCCAAGAAGGAGCGTCTTAGCTGCCTCTTTACCTTTCAAATGCTACCCACTCCTTGTCAGTTACTCCAATTGTTTGCTGAATGTGAAATAAATGTAGAATTTGCAATTGATTTCAGAGAGGAAGAAAACCATTTCTTTTGGCAGCTGAGAGGGGCCATGTTGAAATGATTGAAAAGCTTATTTTCCTTCAACTACATACTTCAGAAAAGGACAAGGTGAGTTGGACTTAGTAGTTTGTTGTTGTTTTTTAACTGAGAACAAGGAGGAGTAACAGTTGGTGTAGGGGGTTAACAATCGGTATGCAGATTACATGACCATTCTTTTCTGGTCCACAGTAGAGTTCTTAAATTGTTACTGTTGAGAGAATCATGGACTTTGCAGATAAAATCCATCCACCTTTGCTGTAGGTTATCATAATTGGTAGGTATTTGTTGTTGTTGTTGAGACTGGTCTCTATGTCTCTAGGTCCTGGCTGTCCTGGAGCTTAATATGTAGGCTAGGCTACATATCAAGAATTTATAGAAATCTACCTGCCTCTGCCTCCCGAGTACTGGACTTAAAGGTGTGCACCAGCACCAACACCCAGCCATAAATGTTTTGGAGTTAGTTTACTTCATGAATTTTTCTACTACATGTTGAGTTTGGCTCTTCTAAATCAGAAGTTCGATGAACTTGGTTTCCAAGTTGCTTGTGAGGCCTTGTTTCATAAATGGAGGACCCACTTCTGGGGAGTCCCAACCTTTTCCTATCCTTCCTTGAGGACTGCTTCAACTTGGTCCCACATTAACTGTGAAGGGAAAACTCACAAGGTAGCCATCCATATGGACATCTTTGTTGAGTTCCTTAGGATAAATTCTCAGAAGTGAAATTAAAAGTCTACGAGCTTTGCACCATATATTTTTTGATATGTGTTACTAAGGTTACTGCTCAGGTTGATTTTATCAGGGTACCCTAACATAGGCTAGGTCCAATTATTTTTGTTGTTCTTTGTTCTTTTTTTCTAAAAAAAAAATTAGTAGCAAATTTAAGCAAGAATGATTTTTCTCTCCTACTGTATTAAATAGCAAAGGATTTTTTATTTAAAATGTGTTAATTGACAATCCTTACTAAAAACTGGAAAATGTCTATTTTCTACTTTAACCAAAGAAAAAGCTTCCAGAAATCACCCTGTAGCCTGGTGTTGGAAGGTGTGTTCCTCGGCACAGGCAATTTCACCGGGAATGAATTTCTGTTTCAGGAGGGGAACACTGCCCTGCACCTGGCTGCCATGCATGGCCACAGCCCAGCGGTGCAGGTGCTACTAACTCAGTGGCCGGAAGTAAATGAGACCAATGAGGTAGGTGGGCATGCAGGGTCCTGCTGTTTTCTTCAAGTGTCCTCCACTGGGGAAACTGCTAATTCACTCGAAAGCCATTTGAATTTACATCGAGGAAGGTCACCAGAGACACTGTCTTCCAGACACAGCAGAGATCGTGGCTGCAGGCACAGATCCTGCACAGGTTCAAGCCCAGTGAGGTCCCAACACTGATAGGGGGAAGTGGACGCAAGCTTCCAGCTCTAAGGAGCTGTCCCCAATGAACAACTGCCTGCAAAGGAAAACTTAGTTTCCTCCAATGGAGTCTCACTGGATATACAATCCACACTCATGGAGGCTCCATGCCCAGCAGTAGATGCCGACGCGAAATGAATCAATGGTGTTTTTGTAGACTTTTTGTCTCATATTGCTTTGTCCCGATATTTTTTTGTCTGATTGTTTTTTGCGTGTCTATTATGGTTTTGGATTTTGTAGTTTTGTGGGTTTTGTTTGTGTGTGTGTGTGTGTGTGTGTGTGTGTGTTTTGTCCATGTATGTTTATTCTGTTTTGTTTGTTTGTTTGCCTAGTTGTTTTCTAAAGAGAAAGAGAGAAAGAAAGGGCCTGGAGTTGGGAGAGTGGGAAGATGGGGGGTGGCCTGGAAGGAGTTGAGGGAAGAGAACCCGTGATCAGAATGTATTGCATGAAAACAAATGTTTCTAATAATGATGGTGATGATAAGAAGAAGAGGAAGAAGTCATTTGTTTTCAGAATAAGTGTGTGTTTTTACACTGGAGCCCTACAGGACAAGAAAGTCGTGGGGAAAACATATGATTCTAGCTGTTTATACAATATCCTGTAAGAATCTATTTCAGAAACCACAGCCTTCACATAGGAGGTAACCTGTCATCTCTGTTTTGACATTCCAGTGGTCCTTGGCAGAGAGAGTTGGCTTCTGTTGTTGTTTTTTGTTGTTGTTGTTTTCCTGGGGTGTGTGTGTACATGTGCACACATGCATGTGCATAAAAGACATGGCGTGTCCTGGGACTGACCAGGTCAGCAAGACAGAAATTGAAAATAGCTGAATGGGGTAGGCTAAAACAGGCAGATGATGGAAGCTCTGATCATCAGCTGTTTGTTTTTCTTTCCTATAAAATGAATATCAAATGAATCCTGCCCTTCTAGAATTATCGTATGATTGGACTATGCCAAGTGTATGGTCTTGCCAGTATATGTTGGCACCAATGTGCTAAGTAATGCTAACAACAGCAAAAGAATCATACATAAAAGATATTGGAAGCATGCTCTCCCTCAAAGTACTGTTATCGCATGCCAAGGGGAAATTAATTTTAACTTCTTTTTCTTTGTGTCAGAATGGAGAAACTCCATTCATGTTGGCTGTTGAAGGAGGCCATGAAGAATGCAGTCGAGTGCTCTTGGCAGGAGGAAGTGATGTCAACATTCCAAACAAAGTATGCAACTTGGGTTGTGATCAGCCATGCGGTGGGAGGATGGCTTAGAATATTCTTTGGAACTCTGGTCCTTAATTGATGGTTTACTGGGTTTTTATAGAATTAAAATTTTAGTATGTCATGGTTTGCATAAAAATGATTTACCACAGATAGTCTCTTCAAAAGCAATGTCATTCTTTCAATTCATTTGGGGGAATGACAGAAAAGGAAACAAAAGGAACAAGGGCCTGTCACAGCAAGATGGCAGATACTCTACTCTGCTTTGTTGATAGCAGACACTAAAGAAGAAAAAAGTTTGCTGTGTGAAAGCTCGGTGGAACATCCTGGCCTTGAAAAATGCATGATGTTGTCTGCCTCTAAATATAAAATACTTTTATTTAGTCATGGCACTAACAGACTTTGAAACTTTTAACATTGGTGTCTTAGTTACCATTTACCATCCTATTGCTGTGAAAGGGATCATGAACAGGGCAGCTTACAGAAGAAAGCATTTAACTGGGGGCTGGCTTACAGTTTCAGAGGGTGAGTCCAGGACCATAATGATGGGAACCATGGCAGCATGCAGGCACGATGGTGCTGGAGCAGTAGCTAAGAGCTTGCATCCTCATCCATAGACAGCAGGCAAAGAGTAAGAACAGGCCTGGTGTGATTTTTGAAACCTCAGAGCCCATACCCACTTGCACACCTCCTCCAATAAGGGCACACCTGTTCTAGTAAGACCACACATACTAATCTTTCCTAAATAGCCCATGAACTGGGAACCAAACACTCTAATATATGGGCTTATAGAGGCCATTCTTATCTCAAACCACTACAACTACATTACTAGCTTCACTTGTTTTTAGATTTTAAAAAAAGCTATAACCTAGAATGAGCAAGAGACTAATCCAGGATCATACTGTAATGGTAACGCAAAGATTCAAACTCATGCTGGTGGCTCTGTCTTCAGACAGATTTCTGTGATTTTCTGATTAGTATTAAATTACAATGAAAATAAGTCATGACAGAAAATTTAGAAGGTACCTAAAAAAGAATATGATTTAAAAAGTGACTATCTTCAATTCTACATTTCAGTTCTGCTCTTCAGAACTGTCTCTGGACTTTACTTGGTCCCCCAGAAAGTTTTCATGCATTCACAAGGGAAGTGAGACTGGATTGGACATTCATCTGCACAGCAGTGCACTATGTAATTTGTTATTCTGCACCTTGTTGTTGCCTTTGTAGTAGCGCAATGCGTTGTTGGAGGAGACCTCTCATTTTTCCCAGCTGTCCAGAAACAAATAATCACTCAGAAACTATATTGTGCTGTTTCGCCAAAAGCTTAAGCATATTTCTGGCTAACTCTTTTATCTTAAATTAACCCATTTCTATTAATCTGTATATTGCCACATGACTGTGGCTTACCAGCAAGGTTCTGGTGCATCTATCTCCTGCAGGCGGCTACATGGCTTATCTCTAACTCAGCCTACTGCATATATATGTGTGTGTGTGTGTGTGTGTGTGTGTGTGTGTGTGTGTGTGTGTTCTGGGATAGCTCTATTCTGTTAAGCCATTGGCCAAAAGCAGCTTCTTTATTAACCAATAAAAGCAACATATACACAGAAGGACTTTCCACATCAAAGTGTAGGCAGAGTTTCCTGTGTTGGTGGACTCTCCCAATTAATTACTCTGGAGCAAAATTAATTGTCAATGCTTGTTCAATAGCTCAGACTTGTTACTAGCTAATTCTTACATTTAAATTAGCCCATATTTTTTTATCTATGCTTTTTGCCATATGACTTGGTGCTGTTTCTCAGTATGGCATGACCATCTTGATTCTCCGTGCATCTGCTTGTGACTTCATACTCTGCCCTTTTTTTCTCTCAGCATTCCCAGTTTGGATCTCCAACCTAAATTTATTCTGTTCAGCTATTGGCTAGTCAGCTTCTTCATTCAACCAATAACAGCAAAATATATTCACACAGTGTAAAGGAATATTCCACATTATCCCCCATTGAGTAGGCAGGAACCAGAAACCTTTGCCGGTCTGGGCATGAGTCTGGGACCTCTGAAGGAGTAGACCTGGGCCAGAGACCTTTGCAGGACCAACCCCAAGCCAGAGACCTCCACAGGAGCAGATCCAGACCAGGGACATTTACAGAAACAGGTCTGATCTGGCAATCTAAGCCAGAGCAAGCCTGAGTTGACTCCATGGGATTGGAGAAAGCCTTGGGAGAGCTGAGCAACCTCGAGGAACACAGAGTGACCAACAGAGTATCTGGAACCGCGACACTGATTGTACCACAAGGAGCAACCATCTGAGCCTTGGATCAACTGGTACCTGCAAGATTAATCACCAGAGTTACAGACAGCCCCAGCTACATCAATTAGAGGAAAAGATGGATAGACAAGGTAAAAACACACGAAACACCACAAAGAGCAGCACGACACCAGTAAAATCTAGTGACCCCACAACAGCAAGACTTGAACAACCAAATATAGATGAAGCAGAAGAAAATAACCTAAAAAATAACTTTAGGACAATGTTTGAGACTCTTAAAGAGGAAATAAGAAATTCCCTCAAAGAAATGGAGGAAAAGACAAAGAAATTAGAAGACATCAACAAATCCCTTAAAAAAAAAAACAAGAAAAAGCAATCAAACATATGAAAGAAACTATTCAAGACTTGAAAACTGAAATAGAGACAATAAAGAAAAGGGAATTATAGAAACCAAAATTATGAGAAAACTATCAGGAACTACAAATGCAAGCATAGACAGCAGAATATAAGAGATGGAAGAGAGAATCTCAAGCACATAAGATACAATAGAGGAAATAGACTTTTGGTCAAAGAACACATTAAATCTAACAAAAGCTTAACAAAATATCCAGGACATATGGGAAACCATGAAAAGGCCAGACTTAAGAATAATAGGGATAGAAGAAGGAAAAGAAATGGAATTCAAAAGCACAGAAAATATATTCAGCAAAATCATAGAAGAAAACTTTTCCAACCTAAAGAAAAATATGCCTATGAAGATACAAGAAGCATACAGAACACCAAACAGACTGGATCAAAAAAAATTCTCCTCACCACCTAATAATCAAAACACCAAACATACAAAATAAAGAAAGAATATTAAGAGCTGAAAGGAAAAAAGCCAAATAAAATATAAAGGCAGACCTACAGAATTACACCTGACTTCTCAACTCAATGGAGACAATGTAAGCCAGAAGATCCTGGTCAAGTGTTATGCAGACGTTAAGAGACTATGGATGCCAGTCCAGTCTACTATACTCAGCAAAACTTTCAATCACCATAGATGGACAAAACAAGATATTCCATGAAAAAAAAAAACAGATTTAACCAATACCTAGCCACAAATACAGCCCTACACAAAGAGGAGGAAAGCTAGGAGGAAAACTCCAACCCAGGGAAATTGGCTACATCAGCAAAAACACAGACAATAAATGATCTCACAGCAGCAAATCCCAAAGAAGGGGGAAACACACACAATAACATCAGCAACAATGAAAACTAAAATAGTAGGAGCTCACAATCACTGGGCATTAATATCCCTTAATATAAATGAACTCAACTTACCTATAAAAACACAGGCTAACAAATTGAATACAGAAACAGAATCCATCCTTCTGTTGCATACAAGAAACACATCTCAACTTCAAAAACAGACATTGCCTCAGAGAAAAGGGTTGGGAAAAGATTTTTCCAATCAAGTGGACCTAAGAAACAAGCTGATTTAGCTATCCTTATAGCTAACAAAATAAACTTCAAACTAAAATCAATCAAAAGAGACAATGAAGGACATTTTGTATTAGTCACAGGAAAAAAAACCATCAAGAGAAAATCTCAATACTGAACATCAAAGTTCCAAATACAAGGGCATCCTCATATGTAAAAGAAACACTTCTAAAGCTTAAATCATACATTAACCCCCCACACACACACACACCTACACACTAATAGTGGGAGACTTCAACACTCCACTCTCACCACTGGACATGTCTGTCAGACAGAAAATTAACAGAGAAATAAGGGAACTAACAGATGTTATGACTCAAATGGACTTAACAGACACCTACAGAACATTCCATACAAGTATAATACCTTCTTCTCAGCACCTCATGGAACCTCTCAAAAATTGACCACATACTAGGTAATAAAACAAACCTCAACAGATACAAAAAGATTGGAATAACTCCACGTATCTTATCAGATCACGATGGCTTAAAACTAGAATTCAACAGCAACACTAATTCCAGAAAGCCCACAAACACATGGAAATTAAACAATGCTCACCTGAATAATCAATGGGCCAATAAAGAAATAAAGGGAAAAATTAAAAACTTCCTAAAATTCAATGAAAATGACCATACAACAAACCCAAATTTATGGGACACAATGAAAGCAGTGTTAAGAGGTAAGTTCATAGCACTAAATGCCTACCTAAAGAAACTGGAAAAATCCCACATCAGTGAGTAAATAGAACATTTGGAAACTCTAGAACAAAAAGAAGCAAACTCACCCAGGAAGACTAGACAGCAGAAATAATCAAATTGAGAGCTGAAATCAATAAAATAGAAACAACAACAGCAACAACAACAACAAAAAAACAATATAATGAATCAATGAGACAAAGAGTTGGTTCTTTGGGAAAATCAACATAATAGACAAGACTTTATCTAAACTAATCAAAAGGCAGAGAGGGAATATCCAAATTAACAAAATCAGAAATGAAAAGAGGAACATAACAACAGACATGGAGGAAATACAGAAAATCATCAGGTCATATTACAAAAACCTGTACTCCACAAAATTGGAAAACTTAAAGGAAATGGACAGCTTTCTGGATAAATATCACCAAAATTAAATTAAGACCAGATAAGCAAATTAAATAGACCTAAAAGTGCTTAAGAAATAGGAACCATCATCAAAAGTCTCTCAACCAAAAAAAGTCCAAGACCAGATGATTTCAGCACAGAATTTACAAGATTTTCAA